AGGGTACCACAGAATAGGCTTCCCAGGCATGACTCCTGCTTTTAGGCCTGTGTGAGCTGCTTTCTAAAGTACCTGGTTGCCAAATCAGCAAGAGTTTGTGTGAAGCTGACACCCAGGAGACAATGGGTATTAGAAAGTGATGTAATATTAGCAAGTGATCTCTTGCAGTTATTTTTTATCGTGGCCAAAATGATGCACTGACACAGTGTATGTAGTTTACCTAAAGAGATCTCTCCAGCCCATAGCTCCTTCCTTCTTCTCTCCTCTGTATTATCTGCTCTGATGGGACACTTTTGTGGCTGGTAGTTCTCACCTGGCCTGTGGCCCAAACCCTAATCCTTATTTTAGGGTTCTAAGAAAGCAGAGAGGGAGGAATAGGGCCAAATATGAGCACACCCATTGACTGTCTCACCTCTTCCTTGTCCATGAGTAGTTAAATGCTTTTACAGTTGTCCAGGCTTCTCAGTTTGTCCACTGCTTCTCTTCATTCACTCCCCTTTCCTTTCTCTTCTTGATAAAAGGCACAGGAGGCCAAGTTCTGGGTTGCTCAGGTGTTGTCCCTGCCTTCTTTTTGATGCATCTGCCTATTTACTTGGCCTTAAACTGATTGCTCATCTGAGTCACTCTTTGTTTCCTCGATGGCTTACTGCTTCATTTAAGTTTAATGCATCCTTTTAAATTCTTCAGGCATCTTTGCAGAGCTCCTCAGTTCCCTAGTGTAAACCTATCACTTAATCCTCCTGCTTTCAGCAGGCCTAGGTATAGTGTTTAGGCTGAGATAATACAGACAATGGTTTGTGCTGGGCATTAGAGATGGAATGAGGTAAACTGTTAGGGCAATAAATTAGAAAGATGACCTGGGTGCCAAATAACCAATAAATGTAATTGTAACTTGCAATTGTAAGATAATAAAAATGAGGTTTGGCTCTCCTAGCCCTTGAAGTCCTGGTCCTGTAGATGCCCAAATCTGTCTTGGAATATAACTGCAAAAGTCAGGGGAAACTTAATTTATCTCATCAGCAATTTTTATCTGTGCATTTCTTTGAAATTGTTTGATTTCTACCCACTTTTATATTTGTTTAAATTTTAATTCTCTAATCCCATAATTACAATTTCCATATGTTTCATATCACTGCAGCGTATGGATTTGCAATGTTAATTCTGTATTGAAGTTCTTCAATTTACTCATTGAACCAAATGATTAAAGTGAAATTTTATCCCTCTTAATATGAAAATTCAGTCTCTTTAGGTTGGGTTCCTTAGTGGTTAGTCTCTTCTTGGATAGCCTCTGGTGGTCCAGTGGTGTTCAGTTGTGTTTTCACTGCCCATTTCTGTTGCTCAGTGCCATAACTTGGAAACTCTTCCTTTTTTTCCATGTGCTGCACAGACCATTTTTTAGATCTAGCCTTCTACATTCATATTTCTCCACTCCAAGTCCTACAAAGTGGAACTGTGGATCTTCTCACACTTACCACTTTCAGGAGTGGTGTGTGTACACAACTTTGGGTACAGCTGAAGTTTCCAGCATTTGAATTGGGTGGCTCAGTCTGTAAGTCAACAAACGTGTTTGTCTTTTTCAGTTTTCAGATATAAGTAGTTTGGGCAAGTTAATATTTACATTTCTATTGATATCAGGGTTAAATTCTAATCACCACTCTAAGTAAAAGGGCAGATGCTCACAAAGTGAAACAACGTATTTGGAGATCAATAAGATTTGCCTGTCAAACTGATCTCTTGAAAAGAAAACAGAATTTCTCTTTGTTTGAAAACAAACAGCTGAGTGGGTGAAGGAAGGAAACTGGCACTTCTTCAAACAGTGCTTCTGCACACATTTGTGCCTTTGCCAGAGCTGGATATTGGGCTGCATCAGTGGCAACAGCACTTTGGTGCCTTTTGTCACCACTGACAGGAGTGGAAATATTTGCTTGAGGCTCCTGGGTGCTGTGTGATGATGATGGGATGGTCCTGGAGCACTCAGGACACCTGAGACTTCCCCTACCCTCTGCCAGTGGCAAATGGTTTGGGAAGCAGTTCTCCTTCCAGAGCTCTTTAGCATTTCAGGCTGCAATGGAAATGAAATGCCAGCAGGTTTACATTCATAACTACAACTGTCATAACAAACTATGGTATGTTTATGGTGCAGTGTCAAGGTTTAGGGTCAGGGCTGTCCCCAGACCTGTAACAGATGCTCCCTGTTAACCCTGTTAACCCCCTCCCTCCACCCCCGAAATGGAAAGAGAAAGGGAATAAGGGAGAGAGACTGATCAATTAGAAAAGAGAACAGCTTTAATTAAAATACTACTACTAGTATTAATACTAATATTAATAAAATGGACTATATACAAAACCAGTATCGAACCCAACTGTGAACTTTAGACAGTGCACTTAGAAGAGCTTCAGCTGAGAAGTAAAACCACTGAACAGCCTTAGTTCTGTTCTACCCCAAACCAGGACAACTGAATGGAGAAATTTAAACGTGGTGTTACATTTCTGTTCCTGTCTTTCAAGGACTTCTTACTGGAGCTCCTTAGCTGTGTTGCAAAAGAATGGAAAAACATGTCCTGCAGACCTTCTGCCACAGATGTAAGATACAGCTGAAGTTTCTTGTCAGAGACATGGAGGTTGGTTCCTGTTTCAGACAAACCTGGTTTGGGTGTCCCCTGAGCTCTCTGAGTTCTGAGGGAAGGTTTTATTTAATTTGAAATCAGGAAAGTTGGTGGGTTGGGCCGATTTCTCCTGGAGCTCTCAAGTTTGTTCAACTGAGAGGCTCAGAAGTCAATGTGAATGAAAGTCCTGCCCTGAAGGCCTTGAATGGCAACTCTGTTTAGAAATTAAATTGCCAGGCTTCACAGTTATGCTTCTAAACCAATTCACTGGTGTTTAAAAAGGAGGCTTGACTCAGCTCATAAGACACTGGTGCTGCCTTTTTCAGCCTTAACCTTCCAGCCTTAAAATACAGCGGACTTGGTGCTGCAGTGATGAGGGGAATTACTGAGAAGGAGAAAATTGGAACTGTGTCAGCACTTAGGAGTCTGGGTGCAGAAAGAAACTGCACTGGAGGAAACAAAAATATCAAAGCTGGCTTTTGGGATGGAGATACTGCCAAGGAAATTTTCCCTTTGTTACGGAGCCCACTTGGAGGTTTGAGGTGGGTACAAGTAGATGAGCAACAGGAGAGGGAGCTCTCACTGTGTTTCCCAAAGAGAAGGAAAATTCCCCCACAAGTGTCTTGTTCCCCAAGAGATCATCTTTAGAGAGGGGGATAAAGAGTAGAAATACATGTGAGTATTTATTTTAAAAAATTTTTAATTTAATAATTAAAAAAATTACTTTTGTGGTTAGGACAAATACTGGTGCAAGTGAGAATGAAGAATTTGTCCAGGGCAAGTAGGGTGAACAACACTGAGAGATTTGCAAAACAGGGTCATTAACTGGTATCTGAAAGGCAACTAGGAAACACAGCAACATTGAGGTGCATGGCAAGGAACAGAGAAGTTTGAGGGTTTAGTAAGCTGGGGGTTTCTCCAAAACAGAAACCTACTGCCTTTTGTAACCATTTACACTTAAATATGTCTATTAAAATAGTCATAAAAATAAAATCAATTTTAAAAAATTCAATAAAAATAGTCCCTTAAATATGAGGGACTATTCCTCATTTTCTGTACCACATAATTCAAATAAAAATCTTTGCTTTCAGCGTGCATGTTGGTGTCTCTGCACTCATGGTACCTTTGACTGGGTTCCTCCTCCTTAAATTCATCAAAGCAATAATAAATCGAAGTTTTTTTTATTCATCAGCCTCTCCCCAAGTTTTGTAATTTGCTGGAATTAAATAGGGAATCAGGGCATAATACATAATCATAGATGCAGTGCATATCAGGCAGGCTTATTTCCAGAATGTCAGTGGAGGGTTAGATTAAATCCTTCTGTTTTGCTGTAGTATGAGTTACAAAGATTCTTTTGTAGCTCGGGACGCCGAATCTAAAAGGAAAGAATGTGAGAGGTATCTGGCAAGAGAAGATAACATGAATTTAATTCTAGCATTGCTGTTGTTCTTAAGTATGTTCTGATGGGCCAGCAAGATCTGCAAAAAAAGTCTTGGTGTATCTGTTTGACTTTGAATATGTAGCAGGGAGAAGAGCAATCCAGGGTCACGGTGCTTTAAACACTGTCATTTAGGTCTCAGGAGAGACTGGATGTGTTGCAGTTCCAGAGAGGAGAAGATGTAACTAACTGCAGTGAGACCAACACTTTATTTTAGGTTTTAAGCTATCCTAAGTTCACTTTGGGATGGCCTTTAAAAATTTCATGAAGAATGATAAGGAAATGACAAGAAAGTAGTGCCTATAGAAGAAGGAAAAATAATCCAAAGATCAGTTGTGTGTGTGTGTGTGATATTCTTTTCCCAAACAGTTGGAGAGATGAGAGCTTCAGCCTGCATTTGTGTTAGTCATTTCAGCTCTTCAGGGAGGAATTATCAGCACAAATTTTAGTTTAGATAGGGGTCACTGCAGGATTGGGCTGAGTTTTGAAGTCACTGGAAGAAACTGCTTTGAGCAGCTACACACCTGATCTGCTTTTGAAGGTGTTGCCCATGCTAGCTGTACAAAAACCCAAATATTTAGTCATTTGTGGGCCTGTTAAATCCCTGCTTTATACCATAAAGTTCACAGCATCTTGCAGGATGTGCAGACTATACTGATAATTAAATATTTGCAGTATATCAGCATGTATATTTGTCTGGGTGGAGTTTGAGCTGTTTTAGTCACACTGACTGAAAGATGACAGGCTTGTGATTTTATCATCAAATTAAAACTTACTGATTTTCAAAAAAACTTTTTCCTGGTCACTAAATCCAGACTGATGCCAAGTCCATGCTGTTTAGGGAGGGATGTTAGGTGACTATTCAGGAGAGCCATGAAGAGGCCAGACATACTTCATGCTAAGCTGCTGTTGTACATGGATTTGAGAATAATGCTGTTGTTCTTGGCTCCACACAGATGGTACCAGACAGGAAGAAGTGGAAGGTGAGCTCAGTGAAGAAGAACGTTGGTTTGGAAACTCTTCAGAAACTCCTTCAGAAGCATCCTATGGAGAAGTCCAGGAGAACTTTAAGTTGTCTCTTGAGGACAGAATACAAGAGCAGTCCACTTCTCCAGATACTTCTTTGGGAAGTGCGACTCCAAGCAGCAACGCAGCGGAGCTGGGATCCATTGAAAGTGAGGCTCTAAGAGACACGTTGCAGAGCAAGGAGCACCTTTCTCCTGATGTGTCCTCTCTGTGTGAAGAAGAACCTCCTGGTCCAAACAAGCCCCTGAGCAGTAACCTGAGGCGGCTGCTGGAGGCTGGTTCCCTCAAGCTGGATGCTGCTGTTACGGTCAACGGCAGAGTCGAGTCTCCTGTAAATCTTGGCTCAAATCTCTCCTTCTCTCCACCTGCTCATCATGCCCAGCAACTAAGTGTTCTTGCCAGGAAGCTTGCTGAGAAACAGGAACAAAGTGACCAATACAATGCCAGTGGTCACTTTATATGGAATCAAGGTAAGTGGTTGCCAAACTCAACCACCACCTGTGGTTTGTCCCCAGATTCAGCTATCCTGAAACTGAAAGCAGCAGCCAATGCTGTTCTGCAGGACAAATCTCTTTCAAGGACTGAAGACACTGTAAGATTTGAATCCTTTTCATCACCTTTTAGCTCTCAGTCGGCCAGCTCCACCTTAGCAGCTTTATCTAAGAAAGTGAGTGAAAGAAGCATGACTCCTGGGCAGGAGCACCCACCTCCAGCTAGTTCTTTCCTTTCCCTGGCTTCCATGACCTCTTCAGCTGCCCTTCTCAAAGAGGTTGCTGCAAGGGCTGCAGGCACCCTGTTGGCTGAGAAGAAGAAATCACTGGTTGCTGAGGATCCCCTGCAGCTTTCAGAGATGAAACAAGAGAAAGCAACTCCACCACAGTCTTTGGAATTACTGTTGCTGCCAGTCCCTAAGGGAAGAGCATCCAAACCAACTACTACAGGTATGGATACAGTTTGAGCCACTAGGTAGAATGTGTCTGTTTGTTGTAGGCTGTTATGACATTTTTTTGGTGGTTCTGGATTTGGGTTGGTTTCATCTATGATGAGAATAAGAAATAGGTACCTTAGGTAAACAATAGAAAAGCTTTTTAAGATGCTACTCAAAGACCAAACTGTCACAAATATTTCCCTATGTGACAGATATAAGTGTACACTTCAGTACCTTTTTGTTGTTATTATTATTATTCCATACAATGGTATTTCTCCCTCTTACCAAGTTCAGAATAAGTCCACAAAAAACATTTCATGGAGAAGATGAAAGAAAGACTGTTGGGGAGCTCATGATATCAGTGAGCATGTACAAAACTGGTGCTTTTGAAATGTTGGACAAGGGAGAGCTCTCCCTCCTGCTGTCTCTGTCACAAATGGACTTTTGTATAATCACTTACTACCCTGTCCTAATTTACCAGTGTATGTTATTATGTTGCCACTTTTCATTACATTTTTATTGAAGCAGTTTGGTATTTTACAATCCTTTGCTGTTAGAAGGAAAAAAAAAAAGTGAACTGGATTTCTCTAATTTGCCCAACAAGAATCATTTTACACTTCTGACTTTACCAGTTCTAGCTGTTGGATTCCTAGTCAAGGAATCAGGCTTATAGGGGATAAGAATCAAAAATAAGAAGAAAGCTTTCAAGAACTGGCGAGCCATGCAGGGAAATTGAAATGAACTGTCTTCAAAATAAGGAAAAATCAGGTTTCTTTCATCTCTTTCTAGAAAAAGTTCATATCACAACATCATGTTTCTGGTAGAACCTAGAGCTTCAGGTGTATTCAGTGTTCTCCCTGGAGTGTGTTCTGTGCAGAGGGGGAGGAAACATGTCAGATGTCTTCAGAAGATGCACAGAGTGGTCCCAGAGTATTAGAGCTTTATCAGGACCATGAGTTGCCTGTAGAGGTGTGGAAAGCCAGAGGAGAGACATGAAGCCTGACGTGGATGTCATCCAGTTACACTGCCACCTTTCTGACCTCCCCTTTTTGCTTAGGGACACTTTTTGGGCTGATTTTTTTCCTTGTGCAGCTCTTGGCATAAACCCACGGGGTAGAATCTATTGGATGGACAGCAGTGCTCATTCCCCTCTTGGAAGAGGAGGGGAAGGGATGCAATGAGGTGCCAGCTCTTTGCTCTCAGTTACACATGTGCTAGAAATGCTTTGCTGGTGTGCTTTGCCAGGGCAATTCAAGTGGCAAACTACTCTTGGCATGGATCTGGCCTGAGGTTTTCAGTAGTTTAGATGAAGTCCTTTCTGGAGTAACATAAGCAAAGATCTTTTTCTGTGGGAAGTCAGTTTTCTGCTATACTATGAAGTTTTTTCTTTTCTAAATAATTAACCAACTGAGAAGAAAAATCAAGCTGTTGGTTGGCATATCTGGACGTTGATTATGGAAAGCCAGATTTTCTTGATTCTTTCAGCCATGGAGAAATGCAGCTTGTAAAAAGAGGTCAGTGTTTAGTGTGACCTTTGATTGAAGACTTCACTTCTCTAAAAGTTGAGCAGGGCAGCTGTGTGTGTGTGTGTGTGTGTGTCTGCCCTGAAAACAAATGTCACACGTTCCTCATTCCTTTTGCACCTCTGACCTCATGGCACTAAAAGCAAACTCTGGTATTTCATTTTATAATGTTTTATATTTTTATGCCTGTTTGATTGCTCCTTGAGACGTGGGGGTTTTCTTTGTGTCTTGTTCCCAGAGAGACACATCTTTCCTCAGTAGGCATAGCTTGAGAGGGTTTTTTTTTCCCCCTTTTCTCATACTTTGAACTTTTAAGGCACTGGTGAGTTGGCTTTGTTGTTAGGAATCTGATTCACTTCCCCACCAGCAACATCTAGCTTTGGTTATGAGATCAATACTCAGTGAGATTAATTAGATGTCGACAAGTAAGGAGCAGTGAAGATGGAGGCTATTTAAAGAGGAATAAGTTAATAACAAGAGTATGCCTGCTGCTCTTTTGTCCACTGTGTTGAGCTGTTTGCTCAGAATTATTTCAGGCAAGAAGCTGGAGCCATGGCTTCTCTCAGAGCAGTCACCTCTGAAATGACACATCAGGTTGGGTGTTTTAGGTTACAGTGGAGTTGTGCAGAGGAGGATAACTTTTCTATCCAGCTATTGATATTATCAGTGTTATCACGTGCTCGTGTGCTTGGGATGAAGTTTAAAAGGAAGCCTGGAACCTCTGTTAAAGTTGTGATGTCGTTTTTGAAAGAGTG